CAGAAAAGCCACAAGATGGCGACACCCAGTCCTCTCAGCCCCGCTGGAGTCTCCCAGTCCTGGGGGGAGCGGCTGCTGAGAGCGGGCAGCATGAGCGGCCTGGTGGAACACTTGCTTTGTTACCATGGCGACGAGGCAAGCATTCTACCCCGGCCTCGGAGGGCCTCTGGGCAGCGGGCACGGAGTAGCGGAGGGGCGGGAAAGATGGAGAGGGAGACATGCTTGCATCATTGCCCTGGCGACAAGGCAAGCGTTCCGCGGCCCAGAGGCCACAGAGAGCCTCTGGGCAGCAGGTGCGGAGCAGCCAGGCCCCGCAGAGAGCTACTGGCACACGGGTTTGTGCGCAGGGCTACTAGTGTGTATATATATAATGAAATAGTATTCAACCTTAAAAAGAATGAAAATTCTACAACATGGATGAACTTTAAAGACATTATGTTAAATGACTTGAGCCAGTCACAGAAGGACAAATATTGTGATTCTGGTTATATGAGCTTCCTAAAAGAGTCAAGTCCACAGAGACGGAAAGTAGAATAGTAGTTGCCAAGGGGCCAGGGAGAAGCAGAAATGGAGAGTTAGTTTTAATGGATACAGAGCGTCCATTGGGAAGACAAAAAAAAAGATCTGGAGATGGATATTGGTGATGGTTATACAACAATGTAAATATACTTAATGCCATAGAACTACACACTTAAAAATAGTTAAAATGGTAAATTTTTATACATCTATCATAATAAAAAAGGTTTAACAATTATGTGCTCATTGTAGAAAATTATTTTTTAAAAGGAGCAAAATGTATCAAGCAGGCAAAAAGCTATGGCCCATAGGTCATCATGAAATCTGTCCTTATAATTTGGTATTGTGCCTTCCAATCTTTTTCCTGTGCATTTACATTTAGTTGAGATCAAACTATCAAATTAACTTTGCTTTATTTTCTGATTAATATCTTATAACTTCTCCTTAAATTATTAGCTGTTAAAAAAGAAAAAAAAAACAGCCCTAACCGGTTTGGCTCAGTGGATAGAGCATCAGGAGTGTATGTGACAGCAGCAGAGGTCCTCACGTCCACGCTCAAGAACAGTCATGCATCAATGAGTGTTGATGATAAGGGGAGAGGGGTGCTATTACCAAGTCACTGAGTGCCCCGTCAGCCTTAGTTCCTGCTACAGCCTGATCTGGTGACAGCTTGCTGGCTATGGCAGAGCACTACCCGAGATGGCAAGAGAAGGGGAGGGAACAGAAGATTCCACACCTCACATCAGCTCCTCCTGCCTGGCTTCAAGTGCTGTGCGGCAGAAGAGAAGGAACCGACACTTCCTACATCTTTCCAATTCTCTCTTTGCTCCCTAATCACACTCCTGCAGCCAGCCCCCTCCATGAAAAGCACCTGTAACTTAAGATATTTTTTTTATCATAATCCATTTAACTAATAGTACTACTTAAGAGAGAACAACTAACTACTACTTCAAATAAGAAGGGAACAGGAGCCCAGCCGGGATAGCTGAGCATCAACCTATGAACCAGGAGGTCATGGTTTGCTTCCCAGTCAGGGCATATGCCTGGGTTGTGTGTTAAATATCTGGTAGGGAGTGTGTAGGAGGCAGCCAATTGATGATGTTTCTCTTTCATCGATGTTTCTATCTCTCTATCCCTCTCCCTTCCTCTCTTAAAAAAATCAACAAAAACCCATTTAAATAAATACATAAAAACAATGCCCCCAAAACAAAAGGGCTGGATAACCTATCAATAGCCAGAAATGAGTCAATATTACCCTTTCAAACCCTCTGTAATCAGCCATAAAGTAGAGTGTACAAAGCTATGTTTATATAAATGAGGGAACAGATTTAAATCTTCTATTCCACATTCTCTATAGGTCCTATATTCCTGTCTAAATTGTAAGTTTTCTTTTTTTAATTTGCCTAATAGGCCTGACAGAACTTGATACATTTGATATGATTTTATTACAGTCATTTAGAAAGAAAAATGACATTCTTTTCCAAATTATGCTATTTAAATTTGCGATTGCCTAATATTAAACCACTAATAACTGTACCCTTGTCCTAACCGGTTTGGCTCAGTGGATGGAGCGTCAGCCTGCGGACTCAAGGGTCCCAGGTTCAATTCCGGTCAAGGGCATGTACCTTGGTTGTGGGCACATCCCCAGTAGGGGGCGTGCAGGAGGCAGCTGATCGATGTTTCTCTCTCATCGATGTTTCTAACTCTCTATCCCTCTCCCTTCCTCTCTGTAAAAAATCAATAAAATATATTTTAATAAAATAACTGTACCCTTTTCTTTTACTTGGACATTCAGATAAACATGGCTGGTATCTCCATTGAAAAAGTCAAGAAAAACAAAACAAAAAAACTTTTCAATTTCACATCCATACTTCTGTGAGAATCAAAATCATTAGAAAGCCAACACTTACCAAACCTCTCCTGCACCATCAGGGCCACTTGTTTCCCCACCTGAGTGCTTCCGGTGAAGGACAGCAGGTTCACTCGCTCATCCTTGGCCATCGCTGTGCTGCAGAACAAACAGGTCACTCAGAGAAACCAAGCAATGGCGCCACCTAGTGGTACCAGCCAGAAAACCCTGACATGGGCTCTTGGAAAGGCAGTCTAAGTTACAGGAGAGCAAGGGAAGATCTTCATGAAAATGAACTATATTTTCACAAGTAGAACCATGTAATACAATAGGCTAACCTGTTCTGAGCTCTCTATAAACAGAAATCAATTTGAGGACATTGCTAAGAATGATAGTCCTTTCTGTCCTAAATGGGTGACTGACAATGTGACCTTAGCATTTCCTCAATGAGATTCCCAGTTATTTTACAGACTCTTAAACTACTAATTCTTCAAGAATTAAAAAGCTAGACTGTAGGAAACATCCTAAGTATCCCTCGTGGAAGATGATTTATAAAGGCTATGCTAGGAGTTCCAGTTGCTTCTAAGGAACGTAGACCAGACACTATTGATTTGCTCAGTTTGGCGCTTCAACGGGCTTGGTGTGGGCCAACCAGGCAGTCACAGCATCAGTCCAATACAGAGCATGAACAGCTTGATGAATGTAACCATGTAGGCCTCCCCAGATTCACCCCAGCAAACACAGGCACGGATACCCAAAGCAGCAGTTCCGTAATGCACACCTACACACTAATGCAATTCTTTAAGCTACTCTAAGGCCAAAGGCAAGGATACCCAGAAGATTAAGAACAAATTGGTCAAAGGATATTATACTCATGTTTTAAGACATGTAGATAATTCACTATGCATACTAGTATATTTCACGTATTTAATAAAAGGAGTACTTATTGTTCATTTTTGAGATAGCCCAGTAAGTTGAGCAGTATGAGGTAAAAATAGAGGGAGACTAACATTTGAACTACACCAATAAGACCCCTATGAAACCTCACCCAGTCAAAGTCTAAGCTGGTAACAACAACCTCGTTCATCATGCTTCTGACCAATTATATAGTCAGTTCCAGCTTAAAAAGAGGCTGTGACATTATGCTAAGAGAATATGCCAGAAACACAAAGGCCTCATGCTGCATGATTTGATTTTATGAAATGTCTCAAGTAGGCAAATCCATGGAAACAGAAAGTAGTTTAGTCATTGCTAAGGGGAGGATAGGAAATGACTGCTAATAGCTACAGGGTTTCTTTTGCCTCCCCCGCCCCCCCAAATGTTTTGGAATAAGGTAATGGTGATGGTTGTACAACACTGTGAATACTCTAAAAAAACCCTGAATAAATTTAAATAAAGAAGCTATATTCACAAGGTTCCCCGTTTTGGCTGGCTGAAGAACGCAGACCAATAGACTAGGCTCTTGGGCTGGGGGTTGGGGGGGTGGGTATGGGGGGCGAGGGGTGGCGGTGAGACACCAGACTCCAATTCCCCAGCTCTGCTCTGTAAGCACGCACCTTTATAAATCAAGTGTCAGCAGGCCACGGACTGCCCACCATTACAGCAGCTTGTTATCGTAGGAGATAAATACCTTATAATAGTAGCTTTGGGCAATTACAAAGGCAATATCTTACTCATCCTCCAACAGAGGCTATGCACTAATAAAGACAGAGCCCAGTGAGATCCATAATGATAATGATTCCAAAAAACCATGCTCACTCCAGCTGCACTGCGTTTAGTTCTTCTAGGACAGATGGTTCTAGTAGATCAGCCTGGGGTCCTTAACAGAAAGATATTCTGCACGTATTGACTTACCCAATGTCTGCTCCACCACAAGTCAAGGAACAAATCGCGCCAGGCAGCTTGTTGTCCTCCAGAACCTTGGCTATTATCCTAGAAAGGAAAAGCAATTACTGCTAAGGGAGCAATTTCATTCTTAGGGTTTTTTAAAAACTCCATCCACCTAACTCTCTCTTCCTCCCCTCAAACATCCAGGCCTGGATTTCTCTTTACATAACAGAAATGAGGTTTTCAAACACTTAAAAGTAGAACTCTTTTTTCCCTCCCTAAGGGAATCTTAAAAAGAATTTAAACAAACACACACACAGCCCAGCCAGTGTTGCTCAGTGGTTGAGAGGTGACCCATGCAACAGACGGTCACTGGTTCAATTCCAGGTCAGGGCACTTGTCCAGGTTTTGGGCTTGATCCCCAGTCGGGGGCGTGCAGGAGGCAGCCGGTCAATGTTCTCTCATTTATGTTTCTATCATTCTATCCCTCTCCCTTTCTCTCTCTCTAAAAAAGCAATTAAAACATTTTTTTTAAACCTGAAAAATAAATAAAAGATATAAAGCATCGGTCAGGTAGTTCAAGTAATCATTGTTTTCAAGTATTTTCTGCCAAGCTATGGGGACATCTATGATTCAAGATGGTTAACTGAACACAGGGCATTTTTTGTTTGTTTTTTTGGTCTGTTGTTACAAATCCATTAAAATGATGGTAGAGAAATTTTAAAAAGAAATAAAACCTAGAAAGACAAAGAAGTGAAAGGGCATCCCCATCAGCAAATGAGAAGGTTCAACACATTGCTGCAAAGCAGAGCCAGTGTCCCCCAAACCTAGAGTAGGCGTGAGGAGATACAGCTGAGGG